GAAGTTGTGGAGAACCGTGACCACCTGAAGGGATATGGTGTATAAACGAGAAAAAAGTGCTAGAACAAACCTTACAGATATAGGAATCGCGCCATAGATTAATAGTAAGAAGAGCTAATCTATTAAGCCTGTTGTTTATTGGGCGCTCGGCATTTGCAACCTTGTGCCAAATTTAGATAAGTTTAGGAATTATTTAGCTTCATATACCATTACTATTGGTGTGAGTTCGATCCTTACTGGGTGCTCCAATTTTTGACCTTGTGGCACATTAAACAATATTATTAAATAAACAAAGGTTCTTCTCCTTGGAACAATGGTTAGGCTAGGCTCGGAGACCATTACTCCTGCGTTTACAGTGCTATGTGGGGAGGTGGGGCTGCACTCCTACTTTTTGCTGCAACTGAAAAAGTCTGTCCTCAAGCCGAGTCGTATCATTTGTTTAAAATCATTCTTCTATGTTTGGTTTTTGTTTTATGGTATATCAACCTCAATGGGTTATCCAACGCCGACAAAATTTTTATTGCTGGTAATATGTTTTTCTTTAAAAATCTATTTCTGGGAATATTTTTCCTTGAAGAAATCGAAAACTGGTCATATTTTTTTTTCAAAGAATGTATGACTGTTTGTATTTTTTTTTTTTTGTAATTATTGCTGATAACAATTTTTCCTTCAAAAACTATTGCTGACAATTTTTTTTTATTACAAAGCATTTCTGGTACTAAAACCTATTTTTACACAAGTTTAGGTGTTAACTATTTGCCCATAGCTGGGACCCTAACAGGTGCTACCACCTCGGGTCCACTCGAACAGCTTCTTCTCACGAACCGCTGCTTTGTGGAACCTACTCCCAAGAGGATGCTTCCCCGGTCACTATTGTCTTAGCCTGTGCAAGTCTAGGGTTAAACATTACCTTCTTCACACACGCCCATAGACTGCTCTTTACATCTCACTCTGTATCACTACCTCAAGTGGCTCTTACTCCTTGAACAGGGTGAACATCATTGTAAAAAAAATAAAGAAAGGTGTCATTCGAGAAAACCAGTACAAACGAAAAGCAAAATGTATTTAAAATCAAAACAAGTAAAAGGTTTACAATCAGATCACAATTACGAATCTCGTAATCTATTAGGGTCTAAGGGGCACAATACAGACTGCAGCGATAGCGGCCACTTGGGGTTCAAGTAGCACAACATCTAGTGGGGTTTTATGGGCAAGACAGCCTAACCCTCCCCAGGCTGGTTTGAATTCACTTTGCTTATCCTAGACTAGTTGCTAGACAAGGCTGTAGGGTCCACTCTGCCCTGCTATTTTACACATAGCTTAGCTTAGAAGAGAAGAGAAGGGTTCATGCCTTTCCCAAGGGGATTAGCACATGTGAATGCAATGAACTCAATCCGAGCTGAGGTCGATTACTCCATCTCCTAGTGACAGATCTTAAAAAAAAATCAGATAAAATATTAAAATCAGAAATCTTTCTGATTATGCACCCCCCACCACTTTTACTTCATGATTTATCCTTCATACATCCACCCAACATTTTATTTCCATACTTGTACTGAATGAGTTTGATGCTCACCAGGTGCCCTGTGCATTTAAACTTGTGCTACTCTAGTTTCGCCTATCATCCGGTTCACACTCCTCCCCTGTTTTGTGAACAAGAGTAGAGTTTTATCCCTTGTTTCTTGTTCATGATTAGGTTTCCGCTTCCTTCTAAAGTTTTATTCTCTTTCACTCCCGGTAAACCACTTACGACTTAATGGAATTATCGCTTTGGTTGAAAAATAAAAAAAAAGTATAAGGATGCCTTGTGTAACAATTTTAGTTTCGCAGTCTATCAAAGCCTTTGATTCTTACGCTCCTATATTTGTGTCCTTTTATCAGACTAGAGCTTAGTAAATAACAAAAACTGATAATAGTCACTAGATTGTATGAGTGCTTTATGAACTTGACCAGCTTAACAATGTGGGTCATTTTGAATAGGCGGCTCTAAATAATGGACTACAAAAACAAGTTACTGACGTCATAAAACAACAGCAACAAAAATAATATCAACCAGAAAGTATCACGGAAAATAATAATTTATCTCCAAATGTCGACAATAAACTTTTGAGGCGCCTTTTGTTTTTACGTGTTTTTTTATGCTATTCATTTTCCCTTGGTTACACGGCTATAAAATGATTAACACAAGAGTGTTTGTCCTCAGTTGGGGAGATACAAGCCTGGGGACTTTGTGTATTTTAGTCGAGTATAATTCAAGTACTTACGAGCTGAAGACTTACCTCGACCAGCCTGGCCGGAGTGAAGTCAATATTATGCGTCCGTTCTCCAAGGTTTTACCTTTTCTCTAGGGAGGAAGCTAGGTAAATTAACCTGGCACTTCAGGTGTTGTTGTCCCCAACGGTTTGCAATTTTTGTCATTAACCCATGCATGGATGGATTCCCGCGACTTTTTGTCACATTTCGTCCGAATGGGATGCATTTCAAACCCTATTTCCTTAGTACTGGAGTGTCTTGTCACCCAAGACAGGTAGGAGTTCTTGTCCGAGGAGAACCCCAAGTGAAATCGACCCATTAAAGAAGTAAAGCAAGGACATACCCAGGACATTGCAGAGAGGAATAAAGGGAACTGGATAATTTTTGTATCTATCCACACGTTTGGTTGGTTGATTTTGTTTAGCAACATCGACTCTATTGAAGATTTTGAAGGCAATTGCATGCCTTCAGATTCTGATCGCAATTGCATGCCTTCAACAACTGATAAAATGTATTATTGGTAATTTTTTTATATAGAAATATATTGCTGGTATTTTTACTATAAAAATGTATTTTTATACTTTCATAGCGTTTTGTCTGGTGGTGGTCACTATTTTCCCATAACTAACACAGGTGCTACCAGCCAGGGTCAGGCTGGACTTGGGAACAACATCAATTAAGAGGCGATTGTACGCTCCTCAAAACCTCCAGTCTCTTGATCAGGGATGTAGTTTATGCACACGCATTAAATCAGAGATGTTCCTAAAGGAGGTGGAAATGGAATTGTTTTTTGTTTATCTACACATTAAACCGAACTTCAAATTTACCCATTTGAAGCGGCGAATAAATATTTGCAACTACAAGGCTTAGCTTGCATAAGGCCAAATTGAAATAGAAAGATCATGTTGCGCCAATCTTTCGAGTGGGCAGAGATTGCCTGTTGTGAAGACGAAACTATTTTGACTTTACCAGAATTCGAAAACTGGCCACAAGAATAGGAGTAGACGGTTTAATCTACCGCCCAGTTCACACCCCTCCTTCTGAATAAGAGAAAAGTTTATCGCTTGTTTCCTGTTTATGATTGGGTTTCCGATTCCTTCTAAAGTATTTTCCTTCCAGTTGCTCTCTTGCGTCTTGGTGGCTGTATCGCCTTGCTTGGCGTGAATTAATTAAAAAAAGAAAAACTACGCTCTGAGTTGACATCATTCTTTGGAGCTGTACGCAGACGACATTAATCTTATGTAGATGCAGTCTCACAAGAAATATACTTGACATCATTAAAAATCGAAGTTGTTTCAATTTATTTACATACGAACATTTGCCTTCATGTTTATTATCAGAATGTTTCGACCATTGTGTCCTTGGCCTTCATCAGGTGCTTACGATCCGGGTAGCTTTTAGTGAATTCTGAACTGAACCCTTTAGTAGTTGAGGTTTATCCCCTGTTTAGGATTGGGTTTCTGGTTCCTTCTAAACTCTTTTCATTCTCTTTCACTTCCAGTAGCTCATTGTATCTTAGTGGCATTATCGCTTTGTTTGGGGGGGGGCGTGAATTAAGAAAAAAATTTCCGTTCGATCACTTCTCAATTTCTGTAGTAAAAAAAAAAAAAACTAAATACTTATCTCATATTATATCTGAACGCCTCAAATCAAGCCGAGCCAACTGCTACGTCTTTCCGAAAAGAATCCTTTTTTTCTTTCGAAAAGACAATGCTAAGCTTATATTTCAATAATGCTTAAATTCATCATAGATTTAGAGTAGGTACATAAAATAAAAGTGATACCTAAAGCTTAAAAATAAAATGACTTAAAAATCAAAAATCTTTCTTGAAGCTTTTATTTTAGTTTTAATTCCAAGTTCATAGATTCAATTTAGTATTTCCAATAAGCAAAATAGTCTGTCTATATTTCTGAGATGAGGTATTATGTACATTATTTACATTATTCGAATGTCCTCATCTTTTTCGCCATATTTATCACAACGTTTCGGCCGTTGTACGCTCCTCAAGGACACATGGCACAGTGGTTAAAGGCGTTGGTTAGATCCAATGACAGGACCCAAAGAAGGTGAGTTCAATACCCGGTTAAGGCAGTGGAGAACTTTCAGAGGGAAATTAACAGGAGATAACTGATAACTGACATCCATTAAACATGGCACGTGGAACTAGAACAGTCTACCCCAGGGAGCGAAATAAAGGGTTCAGTTCGACATTCCAACCACCTGAAGAAGGCCAGAGCGTACAACGGCCGAAACGTTGTAATAAATATGGCGACAAAGATGAGGACAATAGTCCGAATAATGTAAATAATGACCATTTCTACTCACGAAACATAACCATAATATATGATAACATATGAAATGAATTAAGTGCGGCAATTATTTAATATATTTTCTGTTTATACATTATTTTTATAGATATAATTTATTTAAGTAAATGCTCTGTTTTTAATTAAGCCGTATACCGTACGTTTACCGGGCTGAGAAATTTCGAAGAGAATATGCGTTCTCCGACAGGAATCGAACCTGTAACCATTATGGAAACAGTCATATAGCCTGACGTGCTAACCATTCAGCCACAAAGCGTCCAGTTAGCAAAGTCCGAATTACTGTTTATAAACACACAATCTTCGATGATTTTTCTCGATCGATCATTTTTGCTCACGAAACGTATCTTAACGTAAACAATGACAACCTATTATGAAGTAAATTAAGTCTGACAATTATTTAATATATTTTCTGTTTCGACATAAAAGGGGCTAAGAAGGAGCTTCCAGACAGACCCGAACACGAGGCGGGAGCTTCCAGGCAGCCATGCATGCCAGTTCAAAGAGTTAAGATATTTTTTGCCCTTAGGCCCAAGAAAAACAGACAAGACAGACGCTGCCACCTATTTTTAAGATTGATACTATTTCCAAGTTCTGTCTCCAGAACTACTCACTACCAAACCTAAACGGACTTTCTCCGGACGGCTACCAAGATCTGCCTTATAAATGATTTTTTTTTTTTTGTTATACTGAATATCAAAAGGTTTCCCGCTCTAATCTAAATCAAATACATATTATTTGTTTATACAGTGTAACCCGGATATAAGAGAGTTGTCGGGACCGGAGAAGTAGTATCTTATATCCGGGTTTGGTCTATTTTGTTTAGGTAAGTATGGGAACACTTTGGGACCAGAGAAAATCTCTCTTATATCTGGGTTTCTCTTATATCCGGATGTTGGATTTAACGGCATGTCAACTCCTCTTATATCCGGGTTACACTGTACCTTATATCTAGCACAATTCTCCACATATTATTCTGCATATATGTATTTTTCGCATACTTTAGTGGTGCGTTATTCTGGTAGATTAGACACGAAAGGTGGATCACATACTTAAGCTAGCACCAAAAAAAGTTTGTAAAATTAAATGTAGACTTTTTTTTTTTTTTTTTTACATATTTATTTTGAATAATTGCTCCGTCTCCTCTGTAAATTTAGCATTTAGAGATTTTCCCCATTGCTAATTTTCAGATTCAGTGCATGTAATTTACAAAAATTACAAAGTATTTTGGTGGCGAGGAATTAACAGGAAAATGTCCCCGGATGAATTTACCCTCTTACAATATATCGTTTCGTAAATTCATGGGCCGTATAGTAAGAACAGTCTATCCCGTTGACTTGAATAAAGGGTTCCAAGTTCGGTTAGAAATTGCTGGAAGGTTATCATGGCTAACTCCAGACTTCTGAAGGAGGGAGGGGCTACAGTAAACGTTGGACCCAATAGTGGGCTTGACAAATATTTTAATTGGGCCTGGAGACAAGACAGGGCTGAAATCCTCACCCGGGGACGGACAAGCTGGATTGGGGCCCCCAGGTAGTGCTTTGTGTCTTAATATTTGTCTTTTCTGCCTACATTTATATACATTACAAATTAAACTAAGTAAACTAAGCACACCTATTAAAGGATGAAAAAATTTTCGCGGATTTTCACGTCATTCTGGCGTTTGGGGGGGGGGGTTCTGTCGAAATCCATGAATTTGCTTTGTTCTTATTAAGTCACGGAAAAAATACTATAAAATTCACTAATTTTTTTATCCATAATGTTTAATGTGTTAAAATTATTCAGCAAGAAAAATTTCAAGTTGTTAAAAATTGCCGCAAAAAATTGATTTATTTAAGATGGAATGATCTATTATGACATGTTTCTAATTTGTATTTACCGTTATTTCTCGAAAATAATACACAAATTACAGGTGATACTAGGGGTGCGTATTATAAATCGGTTTAAAACAAAAACATTTTTACTTGTTCAAAAATAAGAAAGATATTATCCCAATTTTCATTTTAAATCCAACAATAATAATTCTAACAATTTTTGTCAATAAATTTATATTTATCAGAAAACCGCATTTTTTATTTGGCGAAAAAAATTAAAAAATCTATAAAAAGTCCCATTTCGAAGAAAAGAGGATTTTTATTAAGTTGACAATTTCTTGAAATTTTAATTTTCATTATCATCATCATCATCACCACTTTCTATTAAAGAATCAATATCTAAAATAAATTGTCATTAAACAAATTATCATTTACAAAATTGTCTTCGTCCTGTTCAAAATTATCTTTGGCCTCTTCCTTCTCTTGCCAAAGGATGTCATTTTCAGGGCCATCCATGGCTGTCGTCGGACAACACTTCTTGAAACCTCTGTTTATAACATCCTCACTGATAGAATCCCATTTTGGCGGTAAAATAAAATGTTATATTTATCGGTAAAACCGCTGGTAATTTTCAACATTATTTTTGCTGCTTAGTTTCGACTTTATTCTTAATGTCAAGGTCGACAAAACGTCTGCGTAATTATTTGACAAAATTTATAGGTGCGTATTATACATAGGGATAGATGTATTTCTTAATTATTGGATCATTTGTTTATTTACGTATTATTTATAGGTGCGTATTATTTCAAGAAATTACGGTAGATACATTGTATTTATTTTCAATTTTTCTAGTTGAATTGTTCACCTGTTATTGCACATAGAAATTTTATTGTAACCCAACTATTTTATATGAATAATATCCTATTAAAAAATTAAGACGCAGTAGAGTGGGAGGGTGTATCATAGATTCGGGGCGGGGAGGCATAAATAAAGACCCTTGCACTGACCCCAACCAAGTGGTGGGAATCGATTTTTTTTTTTTTTTTTAAAACATCCATAAAAAATGTTGTCCGTTGAAACAATAGAGAAATATCGAGATACCTAAAATCTTTATTTTTCGTTTGTTATAAAAGATAAAATAAAACACTTCCGCTGCTGTAAAAACATAATTTATGAGTCTTTATCATACTTACATTTCCTGCCGTCTCTACGTATACATAGTTTTCAAAACACTGAAATGTCAGTCCTTAGTGTTTTTATGTTATAAACTAACTAGTAGTTAAAGCGATTTCCAATCCAGAATAGACAAAGTAACGTATAATATGAGTTGTTTTGCGACGTATTTTTTTATTTTTATTTTGTTTGTTGGGAGGTGTCGTTTTGATTCGTCTGTACTGCAGTCTTCAACAAAAACCAAAATGGCGGCTCCCATGCAAAAGCGTCTCAGCGTCTTTATAACCATTTATTTTTTTTCAATTAACGGCAATTTCCTATCCGCTCCCCAAACAACAATGCAGCGATGAAAGTGTTAAGTTAAGAACTGCTTAATTGAGCCTAGAATATTTCACTGCTCCCCATCAGAGAAACTAAAATTCAGTATTTGATTTTTATGTGCAAATGAAAGGACTAAAATAAGTTTTTATCTTCCAACTCTTCAGCAATTTACATTTGTCCAGATCAATTGCTATATTTCTATCCCACTCCCTTCGTCTCCCTATCTTCTGCTAAATTTCAGGAAAATTCGTAATTCCACCCCCCAGAACATTTTATAAAGGGTCGGCTGAAAAGTTCTAATCACAACCAGTTTCCCTAAAAATCAGTATTTCACCAGAATACTGATTTTGTAAAGTGGACCAAACTGAGAAATTGGATCTTTTCTGCTAATACATTCCAAAATAAGAAATTTATATTTACTGCATATAGTTTTCCCAGACCGAGGTCCTTCCATTGTACTATGGTTGGGTTGACCTTTGTGGGCGACTCGGGTGCGCTATTTCTAAGTGTGTGTGTGTGTGTGTGTGTGTGTGTGTGTGTGTGGTGGCGGGGGGTCTAAGTTCGTGCTCACCCCAATATAAAAAAAAAAAAAAGCCAAGAACAGATTTTTTTTTAGATTGTAAAATATTCCTTTAAGTACCTCGAATATCATCCGCACTTACGAAATGCGAATAACCTCCTGATTTTTGGTAATTTTTCATTTTGAAGGTTGGAGTTGGTACGAGGCAAGCTAAAGAAATTTTAATTGAAAATTTATAATTTCTTGGGATACGTAACTTTATATTTGGGGCGAATCCACAGAAAATGTTCAATGATTCAAACAATGCACACCAAATTCTCTCAGAACAAAGGCCCTTCTCTTGCACTCCGATTGGGTTGACCTTTTGTGATTGTAACAAATGTAAGCAGCTCGCGTGCGCCATTTGTAAGTTTGGGGTCTGCATTCGCGCTCAACCAGATAATGACTTAAAATATGAAAAAGTTTCATTTTTCACGTCTACAATGCTAGAGTGTAGAAATTTTGGTTCAGGGTCAAAGAAACAAGTACCTCGAATATCACCCGCACTTATGAAATGCGAATAACCCCCTGATTTTTGGTAATTTTTCCTTTTGAGGGTTTGCGAGGCAAGCTAAACAAATTGATTTAAAATTTATAATTTCAATAGAGTGCCCCCCCCCAAAAAAAAAACAACTTTGATTTAAAATTTATAATTTTTGGAGTGAATTAATATTTGCGATAAATAACTTTACATTATTTGGTGTGAATTGACAGAAAAGATCAGAGAAATTTTCATCACCATCTTGATATACTAAAAAAAACACAACAACACACGCACACTACCGAGAGAATTCTGGAAAGACCTGAATAAATGGAAACATAGAAGTGTAATGATTGATGAATATCAAAGATTACAGTGGAGGAGGGTATTTTTATTTTTATTATATTGTTATTTAGCTAACTGCATAGTGTATCCTATCATACCAAAATTATGGTACCCATGAATAATCGGCGTCAACGTATTCATAGCCATTTATTTCCAGTAAATAACAATTTCCTATTTTCTCCAAAACAGGCCAGCACAGACAGGCAACAATGCAGTATTAATGAAGATAAAATTAAATACACAAGAAAAACGGATTTTTTTTTTAATCGACCGTTTTGTCAGTTGACTTGTACGAACTGCGTTAACCTTACTTCAGAAGACAGATTTGTGTCGCAAAATATTTAAATCTAATAATAAACAGAAATTGCAATTTTACAACACTATTCGGGAATAATCGGCTCAGTAATTTTAATAACGAACTGGTTGAATCCCATTACTGATACTAGATTATAACAAAAAAGATAAGGATACTCATTCGAGTAAATCCGTGTCTAGTAAAGATAATTTCTAGTTTCAGAAATTTAGACAAATAAGAAAAAATGTTGTTAACTCACCAATTCGTCCTCTTCAAAGCCGGATGGACACTCGACAGTAACCAGATTCTAGCCCTCTAAGTGTCTTTATTTTTCGTTTTATTGGAATGGCTGGTAGAAAATAAATTAACTTACTATTCCAATACACCGTTAACAATCCTCGATATGGTAGCATTTTGTTCTTGTTAAAAAAAAAAGATAAAAAGACATCAAACTCCGAGAGAAAATACTTAAATTATGTCTATATACAGTGTGACCCGGATATAA